TGCTGTAGCATGTGAGCAGTGACTGAACACATGGGTAGAATCCCACGAACATTGTTAGAACCTCTGGGTGGTGCTTAGTATCAGGTAAAGAGGTCAGGATTGAAACTACCTCTTCTTCAGAAATATTTTTGCCAACTACAGCTTTGAAAAACGTGGTAACATCTTCTAGAACAAGCTTCCATTCAGCTGAATTCCAGACACTGTGGTAATCCTGGTGGGCAGGATAAGCCCGGCCGCAGATGCCATCAACGATTCTATGAAGAAGCTAGGGAGAAAAAGGAAATAAAAGTACTTTAAAGAAAGTGACAAGCCGGGCGGTGGTGGCGCACGCCTTTAATCCCAGCACTTGGGAGGCAGAGGCAGGCGGGATTTCTGAGTTCGAGGCCAGCCTGGTCTACAGAGTGAGTTCCAGGACAGCCAGGGCTACACAGAGAAACCCTGTCTCAAAGAAGAAAAAAAAAAGATGACAAGACAGATTTCTGTTCCTTGCAGAACACAGATGTTGGCAGACAGACCTTTAATAAAACAAGCTAAGACAGAAACACAACTATTTTTAAGACTTATTATTGTTGGTTTTCTTTTCCACTGTTTGTTTTATTGCTTTGTTTTGTTTTGGAGACAGAGCATCACTTCCATAGTCCAGGCTGGCCTCAAACTTGTAGCAATCCTCCTGCCTTAATCTCCCAAATTCAGGAGTTCCAGGTGTGAGCAACCAAACCCAGCTAAATTCCTTCTATTATGATAGCTACCTTTAAGAAGTAAAATAATGTTACAGATACACTATTGTTTTTCTAAAAGCTCTGAAAGCATCATTTCTGTAATAATCAAACACGGTGCTCTTCTGACAGAAAAGCCTCCCACAGGAGCACTACTGCCTTGGCCTCTCAATTTGTCTCCCCTCTCACAACACTCTCCCACTCCTCAGTGGGGGTGCTGAGTTTTGTTTTGCTCTGAGAAAAGCTGGCCATCTTTCCTAGGTCCCTTTCACTCTCCTCACCAGCAACAGAAATCATGGCAGAGTAACGACTATGAAGACTGGCTTTGGGACAAAGCTGGCTGTTATGCCTCCTAGTTCCACTAACTCCTTGTTTTAGTTAAATCCTCTGCGATCCAAATGTAAGAGAAAAATGTCACCTGACCACACAATGTCATAGAATTACATATGAGCACATATGTACCATCTTAGCAGATACAAGACATCTGAAGACAGTCTGCCTTCATTCTTACTGCTGTTACACTACTTCCACAGTTGAAGCCTTCGGTTTTCTACGGCAGATAATCACATTCATGTGATATTGTTCCGGGCAACGTTTGTATCCTGCCAACAGACCATTTAAATCAAACTGGGAAACAGCATTTAGCTAAAAAGTTTTTTGACTCTGATTGTCTTAGATCTTAACCCACTCCATGGCAAACATTAACTCCCACTAACACCACACAGACGGGTAACTTCTGACTCACTTCCACATACCGACTAACGACACTGGCCCATGCCCGATGATAAGACAGTATGTTTTTGTATCATATTCAATTCTTCCCAACGGTTTTACACATATTTCATGTTCTCTCATACTGTCCATAATATAACTCCAAGAATTCAAACTGAGAAAAAATTCAAATACCACCTTTTGTTCATTCATAACCACATATAGTTTGCTGCACTTATTATATAAAATGAAAATACAACAGGAAAGCCACCTGTAATGTCTGCCAAACACTGTCCTGAGGCTCCCTACAACTCTGAGGTAAGCACTGTGACTGTTCTCATTTTACAAGTGAGAACATTGGGGATAAGTGATGCTCGCTCTACCATAACAGAGTTCCAATCTAGTTACCAAGACAGTATATATATAAATAAGTACATGTGACAGAGCACATAGAAACGGTGTTCATGGCAGGTGCAAAGGAGCAAGAAATGGGCTGTATTAAGAGGATGCGTAGCCAGCAGGCATTCCCAGCCACAGCGATGCGCATGCGCGCGAACTAAAACCACAGTGCACGAGTGGGAACTGAAATATTGAGAGGCAGGGAAGCATGAAAGGGCAGAGGACCTTTGAAAAGGTGAGTAGTGGCCAAATCACGGAGAGTCTTGCACACAACAGAAAGGAGTGAAGGCTTTAATCAGTGCTCAGCTTTCATGTGAGGAATGAACATCATTTTTCCACAACTTTGCCAAGATATTTTGAGCAGGAGTAAGTGTAAGACTAAGTAAGAGATTGTGGGAACTATAGAGGCAGAGACGGTGAACAGGTAACAGAGGTTGAAAAGAGGAGTCCAAGGAAAAAACCCAGAGTTTTTTAAATCGAGTGGCTCGGTGAGGATGGTGACACCACCCGAGAAGGCAGGCTAGGGAGGGACCGATGCGGTGAAAAAGGATCGGAGTCTCAAACCAGGGATTCTCCACAGCGGTGGCAAAAGACAGCAGCCCAGGAAGAGAGCTGGCTCCGCTCTCAGATTCAGGAGCCACTGTTTTGGCCATCTCTATATGGGAGGAAAGGAGCCCTGAAAGTTAAGAGACTCAGTCCATAGATAGGTTTCAGGTTTGGCCCTAGCTTGCTGGAAACCTGTGGCTGATATAGCTCACAGTCCTCATTTGTTTAAAAAAAAAAATCAAAGAAAATGTTTAAAATACATTTTCTAGCAACGGACAAAGTGAAGGTAAATTGCTTTCACCTACAACTGGAGCCGACTTTGGGAAGGAGGGCCACAATGAAGACTTATGAAAACCTGGGAGGGCTTAGTGCCACCATCAAATCACTTTCACAGGGGTCTGGACCCAGGGTGTGCTGTAGATAAAGCCTGGCTGGCTGTCTCTGCTCTCCAGAAGCCTGGCTTTGTCGGGTGAGTTGTTTTTGGCGGCTGCAATCGCCTCTTGGTCACACTTAAGTTAGTGGCCACTTCTTTTCTGGTTAGGAGTTGGTTCCTGCCGCCCTCCAGGAGGCAGGTCCGACCAGGTTCGAGTCCTCACCGCATCCGCTGTATCTCACACAGAAAGAGGTACGCAGGGGGGCGTCCAGGAGACCTGAACTCAAAGAGTGCATGACCTACTCGGGGACGCAGCAGACCTCGGGCTCTACCACCCGAGAGACCCCACAACGCACCCCGGCCTGGGCCATTCCCAAGCCCGCGCAAAGTTCTTAAGCCGCCATTGTGTCTCCAGCGGCCCCGGAAGAATTGTCCCGATCCCGCCTTCCCGTGCCCTTCCCATGCCCTTCCCAAACCCCTCACCCCGGCGCCCTGCTCCGGAGGCAGCTTCTGCAGCCGCCAAAGCGGTGTCCCCTCTTCCGGCTCCATCCCCGAGCAGCGAGGATGCTTGTCACGTGACAGGCCTGGCCCTTAGGCTCACGCTACGATTCGCCCACGTGATGTTCTGGAGGGCGGGGCCGGCGGGCAGGCGCAAAGTCCTTGTACGCGTGCGCAAAGTTTCAATCTTTGGTTTTCCCTTGTAGACAAGAAAGCAGGGTTTTTTCGGCTTGAGGGGACGTCGTTACCGGTCCGCTTGCTATCGGGAGGAAGATTTACAGACCTCAGATCCATTGCAACAGCGTTCGGTGACAGATCTCATGACCCTTCTTCACTGCAGAAAACCATCTAGTAAGAGTAGCCACAGCCTGTGTTTGAACCTAGGCAGGGCCTTTTCCCCAGAAATCTGAGTCTCCTATTCAGGAAGCTTGTCCTCAAAGACAAATTAAAGAAATTAAAGTTAGATTTTTTTTTTTTTTTTGGTTTGGTTTTGGTTTTGGTTTTGGTTTTTCGAGACAGGGTTTCTCTGTGTAGCCCTGGCTGTCCTGGGACTCACTCTGTAGACCAGGCTGGCCTCAAACTCAGAAATCCGCCTGCCTCTGCCTCCCAAGTGCTGGGATTAAAGGCGTGCGCCACCACCGCCCGGCAGATCGTTTTTTGTTTTTTGTTTTTTAATCTTAAGAGATACTTGATTTTTTCCCCATTTGCAAACAGCAAACACCATCCAAGATGGAACTCGTAAAAAGGCAAAGTTAAATATGAAGTATAAGGGAAACGACAAATAATGTTTTAAATATATCCAAAATACTACATAGCATACCTTAGGCTAAAAGTTTATTTTTTTATCTGAAATTCTTATTTAACTGAGTCAGCTATATATTATTAAGCAACCCAAATACTCATTACCCAAGCTAAGAAACAAAACAACCTGCTGGTAAATAAAAACTCATGTCTATACCCGTACATTTACCACAGGACTAAGTCCCAAATTCTTTGAGCTGTAATTTCAATCCAGTGCTAGAATGTTCGTGATAGCATGAGCCTTGTCATGAGGAGGTGCCGTAACAATTAGACAGAAAGGGTGATTACAGCCCGATGTATAATTGTTAGGGTTAACAGTGTTAGAAAGTGCCGAGACACACCGTACGAGAAAGGAACTATCCAAACTGTAAATTATTCTGAGAAAACTGCCCCGTAGCACTTTCAAGGTCAACCTCAAATTCCTTTCTCTAGTCGCTCACTTAAAACATCTACTACTTTCCAGGTTTTGCCATAGTACAAAGACATATTTACAACTCACATTGTTCCAGGTAAAGAAAGCTGTCTTAAGGTGGGAGTAGAGAGTTTCTAAATATTATTATTATCCCCAAATAAGATGAGTAGCTGTCTGGACACCTATTTAAGTACATTAACAAATCTAATGATGGGCCGTGTCATTGTCTCTTGTGGAAGTTGAATTTTATACAGTGTAACATATCAAACAAATGTCTGTCAAGCGTATAATAAATAACAAATACTTGATTTATTTTGTCTTACTAACCTTCACTGCAGCCTTGTGTGCTCAGTATCTCACCCATATTAAAGATCAGGATTCAGACTTAGTGGAGGAATATATAAAGATGATGTAGATACAGATATAGATATATAGATATAGATAGAGAGATGATATAGATATGCCTTGCCCACAGTCACATGAGTGATAGCTGTGGAGTTTGAGGACAGAATGAGTGCTTTGTCTTTCACATATGACAAGGTCCTCAGACATTCAACACCATTGCAACAAGTTCTTTATAGATGATACAACCATTGCTGTCCTCATGCCCTGCCACCAGCATCTCTCCTTCCTCTATTATCTTACCCACTATGACAAGAACATAATGAATTTCAGCACCTGCGACAGTACCCTTCCTCTTCAACACACTAAGGTCTTCTCTGTAATCCTCATAAGTTCCCAGGTCCTTGTCCTTGGCCACAGTCTGAAGCATGGTTAGGAAGTGCTCCAAGTCCAACACCTTTACATTCATCTCATCACTCTTAGGGTTCCCCAAGACCCTGAGCAACTCAGAGATCACAGCTCCCCCACCTCCTGCTTTGTCCTCTCCTCCTAGTCCTATCCCCACAGCCTCCCTCATTAACTTCCCCCTTCTTCTAGAGAAGGGAAAGCTCCCATGGGTACCCCCATGGATACAGTGTTTTACCCTTACCCCTTTGGTTAAAGATCTGGAAGTACTCCTTGAATTCTGGAGTATGATCCTCAATGAAATCACACATCTTGACTATTCAGCTCTGTGTGCAGGACCTTTCCCATAAAGGTATTATTTCTAACTGAGGATTTATCAACATTGTTAACAACTACCAGCCAAATACGACCCCAGGCTCCAACAAACAACGTGTACCTGCTATACACATCTACAGATTCAAATTTATAAGAGGTCAGCAATCCAACCAAGCTCTTTTCACCATAGTTACCATAATCAGGTTAAATTAAAATTTGTAATTCTAGGGCTGGAGAGATGGCTCAGCAGTTAAGAGCACTGACTGCTCTTCCAGAGGTCCTGAGTTCAATTCCCAGCAACCACATGGTGGCTCACAACCATCTGTAATGGGACCTGATGCCCTCTTCTGGTGTGTCTGAAGACAGCTACAGTGTACTCACATACATAAAATAAATAAATCTTTAAAAAAAAATGTAATTCTATCCAGGCATGGTGGCACACTCCTTTAATCCCAGCCTCCAAAGGCAGAGGCAGATGGATTTCTTTGAGTTCAAGGCCCTATAGAGTGAGTTTCAGAACATCCAAGGCTATAAGGAAAGACCCTGTTACAAATAAATAGTAAATAAATGGAAAATGTAATTAATTAATTATAAGATAGAAAGAAAAAAGGAAAGAAAGAGAGAGGGAGGGAGGGAGATGGATGGATGGATAGATAGATAGATAGATAGATAGATAGATAGATAGATAGATAGAT